GGGGGAGGGACGTAAAAATATTGCACTCAAGGGGGCCACCCCTAAAATAAACAGCTAAATATAAAAATTATTTWAAAAAATTTATTCTGTTTTAAATAGTGGTCCACGTAAAAAAGTTGGGAAGGAATCATACATTTAAAAAAAAGCAAAAATTAAATGGTCCCTAATTCGATCGCGTGCGACTGAGTTCAGAAAATTATTATTTGAGATATTAAAGAGCACTTCATTAAAATCAACTTATAATATATATACCTAGACACACGCAGACACACGGTGTAGCCATTATGTGCAATCTGGTGTAGAATCATTTCCTACTTCAGCAACATTGCTTGCAACAAATTGCGTCGTGTGGCATGGCTCGCAACATCTATTGCCTGAAACTTGGCGTGCAATATTGCACCGTGTATCCGTAGCTTAATTATATGTATACTATACGCAACATTGATATTTATCTCTGACGATCCTACTCCCTTTTACCCTAGTACCATCTARATAAATAGAAATGGACTGATAAAATCATCGAAAAAATAAAATAAAATAAAATAAAAATAATTAACTAAATAATCAACTAAAAAAAATTAAATGAAAAAAATAATGATATTAAGTAGATTTTGCCGATCTTTTTTTCATAATGTCAACTTTTTCAATGTTAAGTGTGTTAGTTTTCCTGTTATCATTCGCTAATTTGTTTGAAGTTTGATTTAGCATCTTAATCAACATCAGATCAACTGAAGGAGTTATGATTTTTTCCCTTATTAATTAAAACATTTATACAATCGCATATACATGATTAGACATGCATTTATAATTTTTAATTTTGGTCAGAGTAAAGTCTTGACTTGTAATGAGTTTAAGCTAAAGATTACATAAGTCAACCTACTTTTTCCGTTTTTTCTTCTTTTAGTTCACCTCATCTGTCTTATCTTTCTTTTTATCTCTCTCTCTCTCTATACCTACCTTAATGTATTTCCCCCCTACTTCATATCTAATTTACTCTCATCGTTCAAACTCAAGTAGCAATTCCTTAATCGTTGTCAAAATAGCTTGCTTTGTGTAGGAGGGAAAGGATTGATTGGGCGCAGTTTTCTTTAATCTATTCCGCTTCTCTTGTCGTCCGAGTCGGCTTCATTACGATATCGATGTTTTAGCCTGTGTACATAACATTATCAGACGCCAGTTAATATTTCACTTCACTAGTTCCAGAAGCTTAAAGTTTAGTTGCTATCGTAAACCTCGTAGTTTATATTTGTGCATTTATATAAATATTGATAAAACAAAATTGTGACTTGTGTAAACATGTTTGTTTGTAAATTATCCCAAAATAATCAATCTGACTTATAACATGAATAAAGATGTATTTACTTGGAAACCTCGATTCGTTAACAAACCAAGATCAATAATACCTACTCATTTTTACAGTGGAACCTAGTCTCCTGACGGACACCTATATCTAAGATCTTGGGATCTTCGTTGTTCTCTTACATAATAATTTTTTTYCCCTCTCTTTTTTACTTATTTTCCGTCGTTTTTCCCCACGTTTTTTCCAAGTTCTCGATAATCCCCTTGAAATTTTTCTCGCTCAATTTCCGCAGTTTTATGGAAATTCCATTAAGTTCGTTCGATAAGAAGAGCGGCTTTTGGTCCAGAAGTGGAAATGCATTCTTGGTTCTTCAAAATACTTGATGCCTGAAGGTTTGCAAAGCCTGTGTGATAATAATAGTACAATCGAATTTGTCCAAATAATTTATAATTGATTGCCTATTTCGGTTTTCTTTCCTGTCATACTGATAACAGGACAAATCTGCCTGCTCTTTGAGCGGAGATTTTCTGTTCTTTCTACCCCCTCCCCTCCCCCCAAACGAGAATGAAGAACTCTACTCATTTGCCCAATTTTTTTTTTTTTCTATTCTATTCTCTCGTTCCTCAAGGATCAGCGTTGGTGTTGAAGAGCAGGAAAAGACGTAAAAATATATTCCCTTAATTCTTACTTTTCTTAATGAAATACTTCGCGAGAGAATCATTAATGCAGGAAGTAGAATTACTTTTTTGCACTCAATTTTTTCCGCTGCCTTTTGTCCAAATTCACTGATTCATAATAGTTTTGCAATCCGCAAAGAATGAGAATTCAGAGCGACAATAATCTTTACGTCCTGTTATACCGAAACTTCATTTGCATGTTCAGTTTTACCAACAGCTGTTACGAACGTTTTTTTATTGACTGTCCTACTAAATGGAACCAGTCTTGTCAAGTTCATCAAAAACATTCAATTAATGTCTACTAGTAAATAAGCTTGGTATTCACCCAATTGCTTTCAATATCCTAATTGCCAGGGATGTCTTTTTCTCTGAGGAAGCATCAAGTCTAGCAAGGTTTAACGAGCTTTTCCGTTCGACAAATAAATAGCGTCTCAAGGACCTGACTAATGAATTGGTGCGCATGCGTTAAAGTGGAAAGTTTATTTTTGATCAGTCAGTCGATGTGAACATTGCCTCCGAATTGAACCTGAAAACAGATCTGATAGTGTTCGAGCTCGAGGGCTATATAAATGGTAGAACCGTGGCTGATTCAACATCAAGGGCACTTAGATACAGTTGTACTGAATGCCGACTGTTCACTTAATGCAGGATACCACAGTGRCATATGATTTCACGCAATGAGAAAGCCACTTCTATTCCAACGGTGCCAACTGATACAACATGGCTCCCTGTTTACTAAATACAAATGCGAAACAAATTCTATCCTTCGGAGGGAACAGCAGCCAACCTGGGCGCTTGATAAACTGTAGCAACACGAATTTCTCCTTCGTAAATAATGAGACAAAGGACTTGGATAATCTTGAGGAGGTTAACCTTGGTAAATCTATAATGATGCTCTTCGCTATCGGCGTAGCAGTGATGGGGAATTTCTTCATAATCTTTACTTATTGTAAGAATTTTAAAATGAGAACGATAACTAACACTTTGGTCGTAAATCTATGTGCAGCTGACCTTCTTTCATCGATTTTTGATCTTCCATTTTGGTTAAGCTTGACACTAGGCTCCACACTGTACAAGCAATTTACGCTGTGCCGTATTATTTTTTGCTTTGAGGATCTTTTTCATATAGTAGCCATACTAACCATGTGTGGAATCGCTATAGATCGCTACGTTACACTAGTCAAAGGCCTTCGTCGCTTGATGACTCATAGACGAGCTCATCTCCTGATCGTTTGGTCGTGGATCCAAGCGCTTATATCAGCTGCTCCTTGGAACCTAATCCATAAACTACACGGCTCAAAAAGATGTACTACTTTTCCCCATTTTTACGAACCATCAATCCGCATCGAAGTGTTTAATATTTTCCTTAAAGTCATAAATATTGTATTTCCATTTCTACTTTGTTACTACGTCTTTTATCGCATCATTCAAGCTGTTCGGGGGCGAAGTAAAGTCAACATTGACAACAATTATGTTTCACGGAACTACAGCGCCGAGAGATTCGCTGTTGATGCTTACAAACGTTCTTCCAAGACGGCAATTATTCTTTTTTTAATGTTTTTTATCTGTACTTTCCCTGAACTTTGTGTTACATTTTGGAGCGTTATAACCTCTGACAAAGTTGGTTTTGGCATTGGTTTCATCACGTATTTTATTTTCACTTTAAAGCGATCGCTTTTTCCAGCTATTTACATATTTCGAAATCGCGTTATCTGGAGTTATATTCACGAAACTTTGACTTGTGCCTTTTGCCGAGGAAATGGCAATTCTATTCACAATGACTCCTTATCCTACGTACCTGCTGATCAAAGTATAAGTTGTTTTACAGTTTTTGGGAGGAATTTTTATCGCTCTCGTATAGATCCTTCCGTGTTTGACGGCGAGAAAAACTATTTCCCTAAAAACCTCGAAGTTTGCTTTGTTTGCGATGGAAAAGAAGTCATTGCTGTAGGAGATAAATTTACGGATATAACCAAAGTGGAAGAGAAAAAAGTCAACCCTTCTTCGAGCTCAGTAAACTAGTTCACCATCATTTTAAATCTTCATCCTTTTTTGTATGGAAGACGTGAGAAAGCGAATTTAAAATGGAAAAATTATTTGAAAAAGCGAATATTGTTTAACCTGATATGTTTAGATGTCAGCCATGATTATTTGTATTTAGAATGACAAATCACTGACCATCGCCAGAAAAATCAACTTCAAATAGCATATGGAAATTTGCCATTATCCTCTCTCCAAGTCTCCAATATGTTTTGCAATCTTGTTTTAGAAGTAGAGAGTCATTTCAAATTCAATTAATTTCCTTCCAATGAACTCTTCATTATTTATCTTGCCTTGTCTTGTAACTGCTGATGTCATGAAAATAGTTAACTAAATGGCAGCGCAAAAATGAGTTTTTTCTAATGATATGACGAAAAGATCTGTAATAAATAATTTAAAAAAATGTCGCTACAAATAAATAACATCTTAATGGTTTTGCACTGCGTTCAAATTCATCCATCTAAAATATTAGACGTTTAATTTTCACAGTAATTTTGAGGAATGGTTATTCCCTTATTCCCTAGTGCTTTTGCACTTTATTTTTTAGGGCTCTGCATGAGTTTGATCTTTATTTCGTAAACTATTATTTTTTTCAATTAATTTTGACGAAAAAACAACGTGCTGACGGAAACGACAAACGAACGAATAATACACAAGCCACTATGGACAGTTCCGGTCAACGCATATTGACTTTTTTACTTTACTTTTTGATTTTATTAACAACTTATTTGAATCAATGAATTTGAAAATTTTATTGTTTGGGTTAATAATTCTTTTAGAAAATCGTCTTAATAAAGCTTTTAAGAATAAGTTCTGAAGCGGATAAGTTCTGAAGCAGACGAAGAGGCCCCGCTGGTTCAAAGTAGGGTAATCTCATAAGGTTGATTGTTAACCGCTTCGTAACTGATCTTCACGATATTCTGACATTCTAATATTCATATTATAAATTCCGGTTATTTCTATGGAATATATCCACCATCGTCACCATCATCAATATACCGTCATCATCATCAATATCATCATCATTATCACCATTATCATCACCACCATCACTATCATTATCATCAGCACTAGCATCATCATCATCCCCACTATCATCATCACCATCATCAGCACTAGCATCACCACCATCATCACCACCATTACTATAAACATCATCATAATCAGCACTAGCATCATCATCATCCCCACTATCATCATCCCCACCATCATCATCCTCGCCACATCTCCACTTTCACATAAACTAACCAGCCTCTCAACGCTGCTTTGATCGTAAAATTGCTTCCACTAAAAATATCACTTAATTATGACGCTATAATACGAGTGACTCATTTCACATTATTTTAACATGATTTCAAGAAAAAACAAAAACAAAAACATTCAATTGACACCTATATTCACCGACGGCGCTTTTTTAATAAAGCTTATTCGAGTGTTCTTTTAAGAAAATTCACAGGAGAGAAAAAAAAAAAAGAACTAAAGGAAGAAAGACGAAAGCTTTTTGTTCGGAAATAACAAGACAGAAAATCAACATCGATTTGCCTTTTATTTGTCTATACTCCAGATAATGCTTCCTGCACCTTTCGAGTGAATTTATTCTTCAAGTGCTTTAGAACAATACTTTAGGCTGACATATGCCCGTCTCTCTACTCGCGTTGGATCACAGAACGACAGCTTGTCATTCTTATAAGATTAGTTAACAATTGGTAAGCGAAAAAATATCGCTTAACAGTGAAAATAACCATATAAGRTTCAGTAGAAAATGACAGCATCTTTGAAAGTATTTTGATCTGGGAGGAAAATCTTTTTTATTGCTCAAAGTAGATGCGATTTCTATTTATTTTCAAATATTTCATGAACGTTGATACCATTACCGATCATCCACTTTTATCCATATATCTATATCTATTATATATATATATCCTTTTATCCACCATATTAAGAACCATAGTTTAGCCTGGTTTTGGCTTCTAGAGGACACTCACCAATAATTTACCGCGATGACTCGAGTTGCAATTCACTAAGCGAAGTAAAGAAAAGTATTCTGTATTAATGCAGAAAGAGTTTACTACTACTACAATATAGGTATAACATGTTGGTTGAGCCTGGTTTTGGCTTCTAAAAGACTCTCGTTATAATTTACCACGATGACTCAAGCTGAAATTCACTAAGCGAAGTAAAGAAAAGGTTTCTGTAATATTTGTACGAAAATAGATGTGTTGGCTTGATCAATAGGTGTGTAACATATTGGTTGAGCCTGATTTTACCAGATTTGTATATTTGTGGTAGGTAGCGAGGTCTCGATTATAGTGGGGTATGTACCATTTTCCCGTCAAATGCAAACTTTTTAGGGGAAGGGGGGGGGGCACGTGCCCCTCCGTACCCCCTCCCTATGATAGTGCTGGTATATTACTGTGATGAAGGCTATATTGATAGTTTTTTAAAGCACAGTCTGTATGGATAGTGGTGAACTGCGAGCTTGAGCGGCGCATGGAATTTGGAAAAAAATTAAACCTTCCGATCGCTTCAATTCCGATTCAGATCCCACTGCGCTTCCGTCATTCCCACTGCGCTTCCGTCTTACAGTTTACATTAGCCGGACATTAATTAATCGTACATTAGTCGGACATTAGTCGGACATTACTTGTACATTACTTGTACATTAGTCGGACATTAGTCGGACATTAGTCGGACATTAGTCGGACATTAGTCGGACATTACTTGTACATTAGTCGGACATTAGTAGGACATTAGTCGTACATTAGTCGTACATTACTTGTACATTATTCGGACATAAGTCGGACATTAGTCGGACATTTGTCGGACATTTGTAGGACATTAGGCGTACATTGTAAATGCCACTTACGGCGCCAATTTGCTATTCCACGGTGGATGAATATACTGGTTCGAGTTAGCATTGCAAAGCATTTTGGGATTGTTGTAGGAGAAGAAATAGACGCCATCTTGGAAGTCCCCTAAAACAGACCCACAATGCACTGCAATACCAACTCGACCCAGTTCTTTTCTCACCTTTGGATTGGTTAATGTTCCCTTTTAGTCCAAGGTTGGGTTTGTTTTCTCATTTCAAACCATGGGTCATTCCCTAGAGTATCATTTCTTTGTTTACGGTTGCACTTATGAATACACAAGATATGGATAAAACTCTAGCTTTTTCGGAGGGGGGAATGGGGATCTTATTATCATTAGAATGGCACATGGTTTGAAAGGAGAACACATTACGCCTAAGCAAAAATTAAAGTCTATTCTGATTCTGATTCAGGTGCTGATACAAATCAACATTATGTATATATCTACAAGTGACGTTTGAAATAACACTCCATACAGTTACATGTCCAAGCAACTTTATCTGCATTTGTTTTGGAATGATGTCTTTCAAATTTTCCAATTTTATTTAAAGCAGCAATGAAAATATTTCACACAAAACATGGGATATTGTTCCTTTGGCCAAAATCTTAATTTGTCATATCTTGCAAAAAGGTGTGAAAATGGCCTATTTTTCATCAAAACCATGGGCTATAGTCCATGCTTTTTAGCCAAAAATGCCCAAATATGACTGATTTTTCATTTCACATACATAATTCATAGTTTTGCAAAAGGTGTGAAAATGGCCTATTTTTCATCAAAACCATGGGCTATAGTCCATGCTTTTTGGCCGAAAATACCCAAAAATGACTGATTTTTCATTTGTCATGAATAATTGATATCTTGCAAAAAGGTGTGAAAATGGCCCATTTTTCATCAAAACCATGGGCTATAGTCCATGCTTTTCAGACAAAATTGCTCAAAAATGACTGATTTTTCATTTTTCATGAATAATTGATATCTTGCAAAAAGGTGTGAAAATAGCCAATTTTTCATCAAAACCATGGGAAGGAAGGAAGGAAGGAAGGAAGGAAGGAAGGAAGGAAGGAAGGAAGGAAGGAAGCTTCTTTATTTTGCCACGGTAAAAACATCAGTCGATTGCCTAAAAATATTTAAAAGTAAAGATTTACGATTAAAAAGCTAGTTACTGTTTTACATGTTTACCGTGGAGCCCTTAGTTACAACTTTTCTTACTGTACAAACTATCAATTTCCGTTTTAAATTTTCGTACTGACTTGACCTCTTTTATATTTAACGGTAGGTCATTCCACAATTTTGCCCCACTATAGCTGAATGATCGTTTTAGATATTCAGTGTGTGGC